CGCGCCGCAACGTAAGCACTGAACATTGGCTGCTTCTTGCTTTTTGCCATCGCCTCCTCCCGCCCGATGCTCTACACATCCTCGATCTGCTCAACCCGCGCAGCCTTGCCCACGCCGCTTTTGGTCGAGTCGGCATCGTCCGTGGCGTGATGGTGCCTGAGCTGCTTCGCCCGCGACTTGCTCGGCACCGTATCCTGAATGCAACCCCTGATGATGTTGCCCTCGAACAGCTCGCCGATGGACTCCAGGCGCACTCCCTTCGTCTCGGGCACGCAGAACACCGTCCAGATACCCATGACAATGCACAGCGAGCCGAATAAAAGAAACGTTCCGTACGTAATGTTGTCCAGCATCAGGGGGGTAATCTTTGCGATGACAAAGTTAAAGAGCCACTGCGTCATCAACGAGGCCGCCATGAGCAGAGAGCGCACATGGTTAGGACTGCACTCCGATGCCAGCACGAATGGGATCGGTCCCCACCCGAACGAGTAGAACACGACGAAGAGATAGACGCACATGATGGCGAAGATTGCGTTGCCATCCAGCTCACCTGTGGGTGGGTGGACTGCCTGGTTGACGCCAATGTAGTACATCGCAAAGGCTTGGCCCATCGAGCCGAGGATCAACGACCACTTCCTTCCGAGTTGCTCGGTGAAGGCCATCAGGCCAATCGCGGTAACGACGATCTTGACGATACCGTATACTCCAGTTGCCTAGTTGCATGTTAGTCTGGCTCGCATGCAGTCTTTACAAAATACGTACGAATAGCCCGGAAGAGTTGCCAGTGAGGCCAATCTGCTTGAAGATTTGCGGCGCATAGTAGTTGATCGAATTGGTACCTAATCACCACGTCAGTATATGCCTCAAATGCAGATTGCAGGTCGGAACTCCTTACCGGTCCACTGTTGCCAGAACATGAGGATTACAACAAAGCTCGAGCGGTACAGCATCTTCTTGCTCGAGCAGGCAGCCCTGAGCTGAGCCATCATTGGCATCTTCTCATGGCCGTTAAAGTCGGCAATAATCTCGTCTAGCTCCTGCACCACCTCAGGGTCCTCGACGCTCTTGCCGCGGACGTGGGCCAAAGCTTTGGCGGCTTGGCTGAGCTTGTTCTTCTCGACGAGCCAGCGGGGAGACTCATTCATGAATAGCATGCCCACAAGCAGGAAGGCGCCGGGAAGCATCTGGAGGGCAAATGGCACACGCCATTTTGTCGCGTCTGTGGGGCTAGGGATGTCGAGCGATATGCCGTAGTTTACGAAAAAGGACAGACAGATACCAGTCACGTTGAAGAGTTGCTACTAGCGTTAGTGGGTCGGTTCCAGAAAAGCAGTCTTGACAGGTCATACCATGCATCCAATACAACGTCCTCGGATAGCCCTTGGCGCATTTTCTCCAATGTAGGTAGGGACGACCGCTGAAATCAGACCAACGCCGAAACCGCCAATGACGCGTCCAATGTAAAGCTGTGTGAGACTTGTCGTGCCAATTCCGCATAAGGTTTGGATCAAAGACCCAAGGATGAAAATGACGTCCGCAATGATCAGGGCCCATTTGCGCCCAAAAGTGTTTGAGACGTAGAAACTAGACAATGCACCAAAGAAACACCCCGCCTGAAGGACAGAGACGATGTTTCCCTGCAGATTGGCAAAGTCTTTGCTGTCCTTATCTAGGGCGAATGAGTGCTGGAACGCGTCCATCGTCAAGACACCTACAAGCGCGTTAGCCATGATCATTGCACGTGCGACTGCGCACACATACCTCCGATAAGACCCGTGTCCCAACCGAACAGCATTCCACCAAAAGAAGCCACAGCGGTCAGTACATAGGCGCGACGGTACGTCTTGATGTCCGCCCACACCTCGGACATGTTGAGCTTGGCCATGATGGCAGCGCGTCGCAAAGGAAGCCAAATAGGACAGAAGAAAAGGCCGACGCGAATGCGATGGCGATGCGACGAGCGGTCAAAGACAGTGATGTCGATCTGTCAATGTGCCTAGATAAGGTAACATCGCGGCAAGCATCCGACTATATATCGTCAGTTTCCCCAGCACCAGCCTCGCAGCGCCCAGCTAGCCAAACTCCGAAGCCAAAACCCGCAGGCAAAAGGCGAAGCCCATTTGGCTTGGCTGTCGGCATAGTGTAACGCGACGTCGGGGAGAATGACGTGGGGACGTATCGTGGGGACTCCAGATGTGCCAGTCACAGGGCGGAGCGCCCCATAGCTGGTGGGTCGGCATGGCGGGTGGTAATTATCCTTCCATTCAAACGCCGTTGCTGCGATTGTGTTGAGGCTCTTGCTGTGAATCCTACAGCTGCAGTATGAGTAAACGAGTCAAACGGCTGCAGGACTAACGGACGGGATGAGTCGCTGACTGTGCAGCGCAGATGCAGTTTCTGAAGGAATCGAATGTGCGAATGTGTTCACGTGCGAAGACGTCGGGTGCCAGACTAGGCCCATGCTTAGCGTTGCTTACGGGCGGTGAGCTCGTCTTGTGCATGTGAAGAACCCAAACGGCAGCCGATAATTTCTCGAACGTGCGATGTTCTCACGATGCAAAGACCGACTCCAGATTTACTCTTACAGTTCCCCTTCTTCTCCACATTCCTTCAAAGACCGACCCCAGGTTTTCCTCCTCCACATCCTGCCTCCGCACGGAAGCTAGGCGATTGAAATTGCTACAAGCTTCTCATTGGCCTAATCACTAAGCAATCCATATGCCGAGCCAAGTCACCGGCTCCGACGCTGCCTCCTCTGTTCCTTAAGCCGACATGCGGCCTAGCATAGAGCGCGTCGGGACTATGTGAACGGCAATACACAAAGCTTTTTGGTTATAGTCATGTCAAGTTTGCTTCATGCAGAAGAATATTTGTAGGCTGGTTTTCATCATATCTTCATTATCAGACTGAGTACAGATGTTTCCAATTCGAAGACCGATCGTCCAGACGATCAATCACAAGTTTGCCTTGCCCTTCTGTTCGGGTACTTGCGTCAAAAGCTTATCGCTCTGGATAGCCGACTTCAAGTTGTCCAAGACTAATATCTCCATGTCGCGCTGAAAGCCGTCAGTTGTGATTCAGAATCAATGAGATGCGTGGACAGCGTCACTCACCTGTGTCTCGTATGTGCCAGTTCCAACGTGAGGCAGCAACACCGCCCTCTCGCATTCCAGCAGTCCCGGGTGGATCTTCGGCTCCTCTTCAAACACGTCCAGTCCACATGTCCAGACCTTGCCGCTCTTCAGCGCGTCCACCAGAGCGGCCTCATCGATCAATGCACCTCGTGCAGTGTTGACGATTATCACCCCGTCCTTCATTGTGTTGAACTGCTCCTTGCCAATGATGTGCGTAGTCGACGGGTTGAGTGCCAAGTTCAAACTGAGCACATCGGATGTCTTGAGCAGTTCCTCGAAGCTGACGTACTTTGCTCCATTCTCCTCGTTGGCTGGTAGTTGGTTGCGGTTGTGGTATTGTATCTTCATGCCGAATGCCTTTGCGCGATGTGCAACTGCCGAACCGATGCCACCCATGCCTAGGATACCGAGTGTCTTGTTCTTGGGGTCGTGACCGAGAGAGAAGTTACCGCGCCATTTGCCTGTGCAATGTGTCAGCAACCGTTTAACGGAAAGTTGGATATACAAACCGTTGTTGACGGCCATGTATGCTTGCTTGATGTTCCGCAGCGCGCCTAGCATAAGCCATATGGCAACATCTGCAGTCGCGTCATTGACCGCTATTGGCGTGCTCGAAACCGATATTCCCCTCTTCGTGCATGCTGCGACATCGATGTTGTTGTATCCCGCTCCGTTGTGGCAAACGTACTTTAGGCTCTTGGGTAGAGCGTCGAGCAGTTCTGCGTTGAAATCTCCGGTAATTGGATTCGAGTCGTTGCTTCGGTAGAGAGCATAGATGCCGTCAAATTCACCGCTCTTGCACTTTGAGAGGAAGTCTTCTCGGTTACCATCGGGGTACTCGTGCAGCTTCGATGCCACCTGCGAACACGCCTGCCATTCTTTTTGGGCGTGTGACAGCTTGCCGATAAGAAGTGCTGCTCGTTGCGACATGGCGGATGTGTGGTTTGTGAAGGTGAGGAAAGGGTAATTGAGTGCTCTGGTAGAATGGAGGGGTCGGGAGGAAAGAGTCGCCGGTTAATGTTATCTTGAGCGCAGCGGCATTTGGTAACCTTTTATTACGTGCTGCCCAGGTCCACCAACGGCGCTGCTCAAAGCGGCCTATCTCGGACCGAACTTGCTTGATTGGAACATCAAGCGTGGTAATTTACTCCGCTCAATCGAAAGCATGACAGTTTGCTATCCTCACTATTGTGTTGTTACAACAATCTGTGTATTGAGATGATGCGACCCCACCATCACGGCCTCGGCTGCCCCGCCATCGTCACTTCCAAAAGCATATGCAGCGATGATAACATCCGACAACAAGAACAGGTATCTGCCCAAACCTCCGCTCAGCAGAAACGCTCCTATTTACTGTAGTCTTCCTTGCTTCAACTACGCGTCTGCTTCGCGTTGAATGATGACACGAATATAGAACACGCTCGGCATTTGACCTTGCCAGCTTGTTCGAGTTCAAAAGCCGACGAAACACGTGAGTAAGCTAGCCTCTTTCGCTGCACCAACCCCGAATGAGCCAAGCGTGGTCTCGGATGAGCATCGGTGGTCTCTCATCTCCCGAGCCGAAGGATGCAGCTTCCAGACCCAAGCCGAACGCCTTCCAACATCAGGCAGCTGCAAGGCAAACATGCAAATGGCTGCCTACATCAGCCTGAACCTTAACGAACCTCAATAGTGGACGAAATGAGCGAAATGATGCATCCGCGACATCTATTTCGGAAACTTTGGTGATTGTTGGGCGAGCACTTCACATTGCAGAAGCGTATAAGATCATGTAGTCGCATAGAATGCAGCATCGCATTCCATCAGTGAAAAACACCATCGAGTATCTTACAGCCATCCATACTTATCGCGGATAAAGTGACAAACATGGATCTCAAGCACATTGCAATCCTCGGTGTATGCCTCCCATTCATTCCTCTCACATGTCACCTCCCTTCAAACTGCTCTACAACGGCCAAAACTAACATGTGTATTAGCCGGGAGGAAATGTCGGAAACGCCATCATAACCGAACTCCTCAAAGACAAACCGCGCTTCACCATAACAGGCATCACGCGCTCAACATCAACCTACAACCCACCTCCTACCATCACCCACCGCACTGTCGACTACACATCTTTCTCCTCTCTCCAAACCGCATTCGAGAACCAAGACGCGGTCGTAAACTGCATCACAGGCGGAGCCACGCATTACGAGCCATCCAAACTCATCATCGACGCCGCGATCGCTGCAGGCGTCAAGCTCTTCTTCGCCAACGAATTCGTCGGAGAGATCACCCGGGCGGCGTTTAGAAGGTTACCGGAAGCTTTCGTTGGCGGTAAATGTAGGATCAGAGAGTATCTGGAGGGATTGGGGAGGGAGGGGAAGATAGCGTGGACGAGTTTGAACGGTGGGCCGTTCTTCGATATGTGTATGTAATTCCTCTAACTATTCGACTTGAAGCGTGATACTTATCAGCATATACTAGGGTTGATGAAAGGTCCAGCAGGCTTTGGTGAGCACCTCCCCATCAACTCCACACCATCACCATCCCGCTAACATATGATGACCAGACATACCCAACCGCCACGCCCGCATCTACGGCTCCGGTAACCAACCCTTACACTGGACACCCCTACCCACAATGGGCTTCGCAGCAGGAAACATGCTCCGCAACCCCGACCCCATCCGCAACCGCCCCGTCCTCCTCGATCCCATTTCCCCTTCCTCTACCGTCACGCAAAACACGTTGTTGCGCACCCTTGAAAAGGCTCTCGATACCACCTTCACCATCTCACACGTCGATGTGGATAAGATCCACCGAAACGCTTTGATCGTGTTGGAGAAGTGGAAGGAAGGCGGTGAGCAGGAGGAAGGGAAAGCGCAGATGGGTAAAGCGATGAAGGGGTTGGGCGTGTGTAACCAGTTTCATGAGGGCGATGATGAAGGTCATGCGGAGGACTTGGAGAAGACTGTTCAGAATGAGCTTGTTAGTGTGGAAACCATGCAGTTGGAAGATGCAGTGAGGGAGGCGCTGGAGCGATATGGGGAGAACTGTCAGGTTGTTCAGGGTATGTACAATGTGGAAGCTTGTGAACTTTAGATGTTCTACTACTGCTAGTATGTTCTTCTGGTCTATCATGTCGTTACCAAAATTAGAAATGCAGTTATACAAATTCACCCTGGCATGGAATATGGGGCTTACCTCGCCGTGATGAGTATTATATCAAAGATGAAGTGCAAGGAGTCTCATGAAACCGCACTTATGCTAAGGTGGAAAACAGCAGCAAAGTGGGACACATTCAACGGCTGCAGGGATAACGGTAATCCTGGTACAGTAGTGTACACAGCAATTATGTGGTATACTACATGCTTTTTTTGGGTGTTGTACAACGAGACTGGGATTACCGATTGCTCAGACATGCCGCTGTCATTCTATATTTTGTTCTGAACCCATGTCCTTGAAGGCGCAATGTTCATACCTCTTTCATCCACAGTGCTGGCGAGTGTACGCGACACATCTAGCCACCACCTGGATCATACCCTTCATATCCTGGATAACCTTGCTGATCTGGATCCTGAAAAGTCGCTGGATCCCATTCCCAGTGATCGAAAGTCGATTCGTAGGGATTTCCATAGAACAGATTCAGAGGCTGACCGTATTCTGTTAGCCCAGTGGTGGGATCGTTCAAAATATCGCCGCCAGGAGCGTCGTAGAGATCGAAGTTGCCTGTGTTGGACTGCGAATAGATGTTGCTATTGAATGGGTCAGCGCTTGGCCATGCAACATCTGACTGCTGCAACGTAAGAGGTTGACTGTACGGCTGATATCGCTGCTGTGAGTCAAAGGCCATATGCTCTATATCTTGCTGCTTTTGGTGCTGATCCGTTATTTGTGGCTGAGGTAGTCGACGACGGGCCGCCTCTTCTTTAGTCTGCTTATTCATGACTCTGGCGATAACATTGTATGCGTTCTCGCTGACTGCGTCGACGGGTTTCATCGAATTCAACCATCGTATGAGCTTATCGATGCAAGCTGTAATGTGTGACTTTTCGACCGTTAGGTGTATGCCGTCCAATGACAACTCAAGAAGTAAGACCGTAAGGGCTTGCATGACTATAGAGGTGGTTAGCCAAGCCCCATATCGCAATGTGTGAGGTTCTTACTTATATGAACAGCACACCACCACGGACCGTGTCCGTAAAACCACGCAGGATTGGGAGGATCTGGCAACATGGAAGTGAGATCTAGAGCTGCACCTATGCAGGCCTCAGCAGACTTCTGGTTGAATCGAGTCGACTGTTCGCTCTGGCCCTTTATGCGCAGGTCTAGCCGGCATAGACAGGGCCGGGTGATGCAAATCTTGGCGTTGTGGTAATAGATGTAAAGCAGCACCTGCTCTCGGCTCAGGTTGCTCTCTGAAGTGGCAGCAGTCGCTGTTGCTGGACCCCGAACCAGGGAGTGCAAGGCCCAGGCTTCTAAATCGTCAGATAGCGAAGCAATCTCCTTTTGGGCAGACTTCCAGGACTTGGCAGACTTTTGGGCGGAATACAAGCCAGACAAAATCTTGTCCATGAGGATGTCGATCCTAACGTAGGCTACGTCAAACGGATCGACGCTGGTTTTGATCATGGACTCGCCCGCAGAAGACTCAGATGCCTGCCTGATTGCAGCTGATGTGGTGGTTTCGCGAGATGATGAATCCAGTTCTGTACCCTTTGCGCCTGGTGGCGGTACAGTGCAGTCAATGGCGCTTACTGTGCGTGGGCGCCCAGTTATGCAAGTAAGAACACATTCGATGGAGTAAAGTGACCACCAAATCTGGGCCAGGGCCTTCTTTCTCTTGGGAGACATGGAAGGGTCTTCGTGTCTGAGGTGCAAGCCTGCGGCCTGTGCGTGTCGAAGGGCGATGCCAATCATGTACCAAGCTCTGCAACGTCCCTTGTTAGCATACTTACAGGCTACAAAGGTGAATGTGCCTTCGTTCATCCGAAGTACGACGTACCTGCTGACATGACCTATTGTCAAGTAGTAGAAAGACAGAAGCCCAAATGCCTAGACATGGGTCAAAAGATGTTGGGTCCAAATTCAATGGATCTTACCTGAATCAGCGCTTGATCTGGCTGCGCAACGAGGGTATCAATGCTTTGGAGCTGCAATAGATGGATTGCTCTCCACATATACACTAAGTGATCACGATCGTCGGCTTGCCATTCGGCGCCGATGAGATGAGAATAGCGTGCGCCAATAGCGAATACGAGGTTCATAACAGCTTTCCACTTTGGGCAGACGACCAGCGTAGGACTACCCTGATCCTTGGCAAAGTACGTTTTCAGTTGAGCTTCGAACATGTCACCTAAAATGGGGAATGGACTATGCACAACTGCTTTGTAGTAGTCGAACAGCCTCTCAGCCGACTCAGCAGAGGGTATGACGTGTGGATCACCAACATCGATGTCGATGCTGGATTTGTCAAGGTAAAAGTAGTAGCCAGAAAATTTGTCATGGTGCGGAGAAGGGCGAGTATGGCTCTGTTGCTGACGCCCGTGAAGCGCTTCAGCACGCTGGTTAAAGGCGTCGCCGTCGACGCCCGGTGGCCCGTAGGGCATGTTGGCAGGTTCGCCCTCGGGCTGTTCGATCTTGGTTTCCAGGGCTCTGAGCCACTGAACGTGCGAATTGTGACCCATGTAGCCCGTGTTGTCTGCCTCATCCGTATTGAGAATGTCCTCTTGGACGAAGTCTAGATCTTCGTTGGAGCCGACTGAAGCTGAGACGTGAGCTTCTCCGCCATCTACAGAGGTGGCGCTCAGAGCATCGTCATTGGGGGAAGGTGACGAAGCTCTTCTTGCGCGCTTGCCATGAGAGAGAGCAGGTGTTGGTGGAGGAGGCGGCGTGTCGTCTTCGAAAGATGCCAAGGTATCCTCAACTCTCTTCTTGCTCTCATCGTCAAGCTGGCTGCTCACTTCAATCAAGAGTGCAGTCAAGGCGTGCGATTTGCGTTGAGCTCTTTTGATAGTCAGACGGGGATGTGGAGCAGATGAACAAAGACATGAACAAACCCTTTGAGGCGGTCCTTGCGCTCCAGGTCGTAGTGACAATCATTGTCCTGCCGTTGACAGTTGATACATTGCGGACGGTGGCCAGAGCATTTGATCTCTGGGGCTAGTCAGCAAGCCGAAGTTGAGCGATCTAGACATGAGGAAGGGCCCACTTCGTTTACGGCACTGCGTGCACTAGAAGCGGACGTCAGCACCGGCCCAATCGTACAAGAGAGTTTACTCACAGCCTTGCTCACTACTTCGGTGCGGACCCGAGGAGTTCTTGTGGCAGGCGGCATCTGGTATCCATGGCCAGGAATTCTTGGTATGGCTACCTTTGCCTCCCTGGAGCTGGAGCCCTCGGGCGGGTAGCGGCCGTTGTCCATTCACTCGGACGTGACCACCTGCAAGTGCTGGGAGAAGGGGCGAAGCACGTGCGCAGAGGCGGAGGTAGAGGGAAAGACTGAGGCGGAGACGACGGTCCGCCTAGATGTCGTAGCGTGGAGTTACGAGTGCAGTCCTTATCAGAGTAGCAGCTGCGTCGTGGTGACGGAACGGGGGAGCATTCCGGCAGACAACCTTTACGCGTTGACCATTATAAGCCAGAATCGGGTAGTTTTCGAGACGAGGAGGGCGCCTATTAGAGGAAGGCGCTTTGTGCCGTGGCCAATGGGCGTCGAGGCGGGCGACGTCATGTTGTGTACGAGCAGGCAGGCACGTACGTAGGCGAGGAGGGAGGTCGAGGTGCGCGAGCCCTGCACCACCCACGTGCAGTATAATAGCAATATTCAAGACGGCGCGGCCACGACCCGAATCGCGTATCTGCCTGACAGGTGAGCCAGCTACTGCCCATGGACGAGAACCTGCCTCCAGCCCGCTCGCAGCTCACCCAGCGCGCGGCGTTATCTCGGGCGCGGCCTGCGTTGAGTCTGCAGCGGATTGTGGGCGCAGGAGCATGTGAAGCTTGTCGCGGCCGCATCACCAAGGTAAGTCGGCGGCCGTGCGCGAGCTAACCCACACCTCTGACGCTACCAGTGCTCGACCGAACGTCCCCAGTGCTCAGAGTGCCGGAAGCGGCACACGCCATGCAACTACCTTCAGCCTGCGGTCCGGCCCGTTGCTGCCAGTGCCAGGCGATACCATGGCCAGGTCCAGGTCCACGCACACCATCACCCCCAGCATGCCCTCCTCCGGCACATCTTCGCTCATCTGCGCTCCCAGCCATGGCACGTCGCCCAGGACATCCTCACCCAGCTGCGTCGCGGCACCGACGAGCGCACCCTCCTCCGTTTCCTTGAGTATGGCAGTCTACGTGTCCAGCTCAAGCTGGTCCCAGACACGACATACCAGTTCACCGCTCCCTATCTTGCTGACATGATGCCGCTCTTTGGCGGTGCCGACAACCCCTACCTTGCCTCCAGGCTGTACAAGGCCCTGTCGGACGAGACTGCCCATCACGGCACCGACATCCAGGAGCAGACTCACAGCGCCATCTACCACGTGCCCTATCCCGGCGCCCGCATGTACGATCCACGCATGTCGCCAGACACGCTGAGGCCATCCAAGTGGACTTCGATAAGCGACGACGACGTCTTCCTCACCCGCCTTCTCGAAGGCTACTTCCTGTACGAGTTTCCATTGTGGCCTTGCTTCCACAAAGATCACTTTCTCGATGACATGACTGCTGGAAGGTCTGATTACTGTTCACCACTCCTAGTCAGCGCTATTCTCACCGCAGCCTGTGTAGGTTCCATCTTGGCTTCTCCCACTTGCTTCCTTGTGAGCTGACACGATCGACAGCACGGCTTGAGTACGCTTGGGCAGAGGTCCGAGTTTTGGAACCCCAACACCTATAGCTATCGGTGTATGGCTGAGACCAGACAGCTATGGGAGCTGGAACAGTCACAAGCCGTGTGTAGTCTTCCGTCTGCCCAGGCAGCTACCATCATAGGCCGAATATACTTCGCCAATGGCATGGACAAAATGGGCTGGACAATGTGGTCTCACGCTCTAGCGCTTGCGGATAGACTAGACTTATTTGCTAAGAGCGCGCAATACAATAACGAGAAGGACCGCATTTCAAGAACCATCACAGCCTAGGGCATCTTCTCTCAGCAAGCGTATGAGCTTACCTGATTCCTCCTTCCCCTCGTCTCCTCTTTCCCTCGCCCTCCTCCTGCCCCTGCCCCCAATGTAGTATTGAGATCGCCTCTGATGTAGGTTCAGGTTCTCTTGCTTTTACCTTATGAAGCCCCCACTGTCTCGACTTCCACCTGAGGACGGCTTGCCCACGTACCAAGACGCACAAGACTTCTTTGGCGAGATTTGGGTCAAATACCCTCTTGCGACACACGTGGTACGTCCCCACTTGCCCCTCATGATGGACCAAATTGACAAGCTACTAGACCCCCATCTACCTGGGACAGACATTCCTGTCGCTCATCAAGCTTCGATGCATCATGAACGACATAGCCGGAAAGGCTCTTCCAGAGGACGATGGAGATAACAATCTCGATATTGAGCAGGCCAGTCGTTATCATCTTATGCTGGTACAATGGTTCCGTGATCTTCCGGAGCCGTTACAGCCACAGAATGCCGCCATGCCGACACAGCTTCTGCTACAGTGAGATTTGACACACCTTCCATGTACAAATGACTAACGTTTGGGTCACAGCATGCAGTTCCACAACCTCGTTACCATGACCTTCCAACCGTTCCTGGAAAAGGAAAAGTCTCTCAACTGGCCCAACAATAGTGGCGCATTCCAAAAGTATACAGGCTTCAGTCCGGCCCAACTATATGCTGCCTCGAAAGCGAGTCTGCAGACGCTTCTCCATATGTTCTTCCACCGTCACGGTTTCGAGGCATACTACATATTCCTACTCCAGGTCCTCGTCCAGCTAGGCTTCGATTCGATCGAGCGTCTACGCACCCCGGAAGCGCAACAAGAGCATTTCCCTGCCATAATGAAAGCCACACGAGCCACACTCATATTGTGCGCCAAGGGCTTGCGCGACCAAGGCCGTAACTTCTTCTTATCTGAACTCGTATTCCGCATTCTGCGCGACAAGATGAATCCGGTAGACGTCAAGCTGCTCAAGGACTGGGCGCACATCAAAGACGAAGATGACAGGGAGAAGTCGATGATGGAACACGTCTATGGCGAATACCCTGTCAACGTAGAGTCCATCACCTCGGATCCGACCGAACAACGTTTGAATCGGCTGTTGCAGACTATGGCTGATCTCAAGCTTCCCAACGATACTGCTGAGCCGACTCAGCAAGACAGGGCATCGAGGACATGGCGAAGCATCGTTTTTTGAACGCGCCGAGAGATTGGTGGAATCGGAGCAAGGTGGAGGTTACAACAACGCTGGATACAATATACGATTTATTGGTTACTGTGCTATTCGCTACATCCAGCCTCAATGCTTCGGCTCAGAGCTGTATTTTCCGTCTCCTGCGCATCTTCACGTGTGCTCAGAAACCACAGAGCGCGACCCACTTTGTCTGATGGGTCTTTTTTGCCGACCACTAGTCCTGACGAAGTGCTGTGATCCGGATAAGCTCATCCACCAGCACTTTGATCCACGATCACGATCAACATGGTAAGAGTTTTCTGCGTGCTGCTAGATCGAAGCACTGGACGAATGGTATGCAGGTGTCCGCGGCCAGACAGTTATCATTGGCTACGGGTAGTATGCCCTGCAAGCTAGCCCCATCTGTATGTTCGAATCGAGAATTATGCGCGTGTTATCGTAAAGGTACAAGTATCGTCAGGTGAGGTTTTGGTTCTTCGATTGAAATCCATGGATGCGACAGGGGCATGCGCTGACTGGTGATGTCACTGCTTGATTCGGCCGGTCTTTCGGAACGACACATGTCTGGGCGCGGGTTGGTGGAACTGGACATTTCAGTAGCGGTACTCTTACACACTCCAGGACAGCGCAACGTATTCGACAAACGTTTTTTGGAACTTGAATGAATTTTTCGGGGTCGTGCAGTGCATGTACATCGACCCTTTCTATGGATCTATCGGAAATGCCGACGCTCATCATTGGCTCTTCTTCTTCTGCATCTCCATCTTTCTCTCGCGCTTATCGGCGATCCTCTGGAAAATACTGCCATCGTATACGGCGCGAATATCCTCCTTGTTATTGTTAGCATCAACAGCAACTCAAGATAGGTTCTATCATATCGCGTACCTTCATCATCCGGCCGTCTTCGGGCCAGAGCGTCAAATACGTTGCAGTCCCTATTTGACATTAGCATTCCCGCTCATATTTTTTGGAACTCTATTATGCTTACACTCAAAGATAAATCCACACATCCCGATAGGATCGTTGATATTCCTCTGCCCCTTCAACACGTTCACCAGATCACCCACGGTCAGATAATCCCGTCCCTCCGCGTACTTGGTGAAGATCTCTTCGAATTTCGACGGTATAAACCGCCCCTCGGTGTCATACGTGCCTGTATCACTACCGTGCCGCGCTCTATGCACGTTGTTCAGAAAGAGACGGAAGTAGGGGTCCGGAAGCCATCCCGAGCACGTGGGATATGAGAAGTTGATGTGGATGACCAATACGGCGAAGGCGGAGAAGAAGAGTCCGCAACCTAGGCGGTAGAAGCCGACAAAGGTGTCTTGCGGCCAGAGAATACCATCGTGGTCGCGGTCAAAGAAGTCGCAGTGTTGTTGCAGCACGGTTTGATGTGAGTGCTTCTTTGCCCAGTCGTCTTGCGTGCTGCCTTGAGGTGTCTCCTCTGACGGAGCGAGGTTTGCACGTGCGACCGCTATGGAGGGTTAGCAGACGACGTAGTAGTAGCGTGCCCGTCGTGTGTACGTACCTGCGTGTGGTAGGTTTGACTTCTTCCCTTGAATGTACGGTTTCCTTTCTTGGGTAATGGGTACATTGTCGATTGCGTAGACTGGTACGTCTCCACCAGACTCCGCATGTCCATTAGCTCCTTCCATCTTTGCGATCATGATTACGGTAACTATGTGTATGGGAATTAGAGGAGGTTACATACGACAAAATAACAGCTCGATTAAAAGCAATGCCCTAGGTATTCGCCCTGCTGTAGTCGCGAGGCGTGAGCCGCATGTTCCTATTGGATCAAGGGCTCACCATGACGTCAATGACTATGTCAAGAGCCTTGGTATGGCAGTGCAGCAACTCAAAAGAGTTTCGTGGATTTGTTTGCCACGTCTGAAACTGTCGGGTCATTTCTGTATTGTCGCTGTGATTGCAATGTGGCGTTGCATGTGCTTGCATGCTGTACTACGTTGGTTTGCGGCTGCTATCTTTCGAGATGTGGCTCCGCGGCCAATCATCGAAATGTAACCCTGCTTTGGAACGCCATGGCTTGATCTTCAGGCACGCGTAAGAATTAGATCATCCGCGATATATCGCCTGTTGATATACGTCTGCCGTGTACGTGATGCATCGTCCTGGACCATTAAGGCAGTGCGTTTGCACAATCGTATCATTCAACTGTTCGACTTTGGCAGCTGCAGTCAACACCCGCACCTCTAAACGTTATGTGTGCACTGGGAATTACATGATGCTGATGTTATGCTCCAGCGGAGAATCACAAAATGCCATGAGCATGCCGCGAACCAGACTTTGGCGTTTGATGTTTGATTATGGACTTTGCCTTCGATCGCGACATCGCAGTCCCAAATCCAGTGGTAGCATGCATAGTTGTCGTGAGATTGATTGATGGTTGCAGACGTAGTGTTGATCGAACAGCGAATCCGATCTGGCTAGCGCGATCTCGGGATGAATGACGCGCATGCACGGGACCGCGGGAACACGCGCCTTCCAGATGTCGCGTCTGCATCGCATTCTTCAGTTCCACTATGCAAGTCGGCTAGTACCCTCCAGGACTGCCTTACGCCCTCCCGAAACGCGACCTCGATATCTGACATGAGCCGTCACTCGGCATGTCGTCACCATCGCCGGAGTTTCATTCGTCGCAGTTCTCCATCACCTCTCCGCGTCGCATCCCCAAGTCGAAGTTCACGTACAAACAGCTGCACCAGCTCAAGACGTACAGCCCGCAAACTCCCCTCCGTGTGATCGCGCACGTCGACCTCGATGCCTTCTACGCGCAGTGCGAAACCGTCCGCCTCGGCATCGACCCCTCCAAACCTCTTGCCGTACAACAATGGCAGGGCCTGATCGCCATCAACTACCCCGCGCGCGCATTCGGACTCAGCCGACACGTCACCTCGACAGAAGCGTTGAAGCAATGCCCGGATCTTATACTGCAACACGTTGCGACGTGGAAGGAGGGGGACGAGACATGGGCATATCATGAGAACAGCTTCAGGGACATGGCGACGCATAAAGTCAGCCTGGACCCATATCGCATGGAGAGCCGCAAGATCCTGAAATGCATCAAGGAGACTCTGCCTGAGAAGGAACAGCGCGTCGAGAAGGCGAGTATCGACGAGGTTTTCATGGACCTGAGCGCGCAGGTGCATACCATATTGCTCGAGAGATACCCCGAATTGAGAGGCCCCGCGCCGTACGACGATCCGACGGAGCCACTGCCCAAGGTGCCTACAACCGTGCTGGACTGGGCGGCCGATGCGCTCGTCGAGACAGGCGAGGAAGATGGAGAAGATAGAGACCCAGACTGGGACGATGTGTGTATGGTCATCGCATCCGAGATTGTAAGAGATGTGAGGAGACATATCAAGGACACGTTGGGCTATACCTGCTCGGGAGGCGTCGCAAGGAACAAGATGCTGTCGAAACTAGGATCAGGATACAAGAAGCCAAATCAACAAACCGTTATACGGAATCGCGCCGTGAAGCACTTTCTCTCCGACATGAAATTTACCAAGATTCGCATGTTGGGCGGCAAATTGGGAGACGAAGTAGTCGCCATGTTCGGGACAGACAAAGTGAAAGACCTTGTGGAACAGCCGTTGGACCAACTGAAGAAGCTAGGCGATGACACCGGCAGTTGGATATACTCCATCATCAGAGGCGAAGATAGCAGCGAGGTCAACCCGCGCACGCAGATCAAAAGCATGCTTTCAGCGAAATCCTTCAGACCAGCCATCAACTCGTTCGAGCAGGGTGTAA